GAACCGGTCTGTATGTGGGATCCGAACCCTCGGCGGGAACGCCGCCGCGCTCCCAAGCGGCACACTGTAGCAGTGCGCCACTGGGCCAGCCCCTACAGCATTATTTTTTATGCTGTAATACGGTTGTGAGTTCTTTTTATTCTCTATTTTTGTGGTTTCTTATACTAGCTAATGTCTACCCATTTAAATATTTTATTTCCAAAGAACTAATTATTCATATAAGTTTTTCTAATTCACTTTCTCCCTTTATCGTTATGAATTCCTTTGTCTTCTAAAGGATTACTGGTACCTAAATTTTTTTCTCCTTCAGATATGTTACTTTGAGTAAAGGAAGTGAATGAAGTGAGAAATGAAAAATGCTTGTTTGTAGTGTAGGCTTCCTACTTCTATAAAATTGCAACACTTAAATGTAATAGGTAGTTGCTTAAGTAGAAATTAAGATTCCAGCGTATGGCTGTGACTTACCAGTTTCAGGCCATAGATTTTCCTTCCTTTCCATCATGGTTTCATTGAAAGAATATTTTGAAAGAATAAGTAGTGTGCAGTGTCTTTTTTTAAAATAAAATTTTCCCCTTTAGAATCTTTTGGCATCCTCAGCCAATGCTTTCCCAACTTAATCTATACTAACAACACAAGTTTGCTTACACAGGTTATATTTTTCTATTTAGGGATCTTAATAGTTCACAGTAAATTGAGCAGTGGGTGGGTTTAAATACCAATAACATTTTAGAACATTAAAAAATGTGAGACTGTAAAACTAAGCTATGTTTAGTCAACATTAATCAGCTAACACATTTCTGTTTGTTTATTGAACTGTTCCTTTTGTGTTGGTACCATATATATTTTCTCATAAATGTTTTTTTTTTCTTTTAAACTAAATTTAAGAATTTGTCTTCCTTTGTAGGTACAAGCGTGTCTTTTCAGTTGGAACCCATGCGATTACTACATATAATCCCAATACTTTAGAAGTAACAAATCAGGTAATCGTGTTAGAAGCTGTAAGGTGTTTGTGTGAACTCCCTTTGAATTTTAAGAGCCGTGATATGACCCATAACCCCTTGTCCTGAAATCAGTACTTTAGGGTAGAAATGTCAAATCTGAAAGAGATTGATGTGTTTATATTATGCTGTATGCTCAGGACAAAAGTAAATAAATAAAGGGGAGCAAGGAGAATGTGTTTATTTCCAAGCTCTAAAGGGTGTAACTTTTTGATATGTTACTATTGATTACAAACATCTGTTTTATGTTAAGTTAGTAAATTAGTTCTTTATAAATTTTAGAGGCTTATACTGTTACTATAATATAGGCATGCATAAGTTAAGTCTCATGAGTGTAGTTGATGTAAAATACTCATCATGGAAGTAGGATTACTTGTTTATAAAGGCAAGACTAACCTGAACGTGTATAAGTAAACATTTTTAAAGATATTCTAGCTTATTTTAATTCTAAATTACTCAGGTTTTACAGAGTTTTTTTTAATGGATTTACAAGTAATCATAAAATTTTATTCCCCAATTTTTTTCACTTTTATCATTTTAATTACTTTGAGTTAGTGTCATTAATTATTAAAATTGGAATACAAGATAGGATTTTTGTTGTCAATGTCTCTGATGACTAACAACCTTTAAAAGAGTTTGTGTTACATAGAATTGCTATATGACATAACTTTTTATAGATCTCTGTTATTTTGTAAAATTTTGCTCATTTAGCCAGTGATTATGAAATTAAAGTAATAATAAGTGTTGCATTTTACTATGTTGTAACACCAGTTGAAAGAATTCCTTTCTTTTTGTTAGTGGCCTTATGGAGACATTTGCAGTATCAGCCCTGTTGGAAAAGGACAAGGAACTGAGTTCAACCTCACATTTCGTAAAGGCAGTGGAAAAAAGTCAGAAACTTTAAAATTTTCTACAGAGCATAGAACAGAATTACTTACAGAAGCATTGGTAAGAAAGGTTTCATGTTCAGAAACTAAATTTCTCTCTTTTCTTTTTAAAATGAAATAGTTACCTTTAAGAACAGATATTATGTTCTCAGTCCCTGAATGAACCCACTGTGCTTATTTTTTCTTATTGACCTTTAACTTGGCACTGTGAAACTTTCACTTTTCTCTGACAGAAGTCTGGAAATTTTTATATTTGATAGCTTACTGGTCTTTTTAAGTACATATACAGGACAGAGTATCGTATGTTTAATTAATCTTATCTTCTTCTTCAATAAAATTTTGTTATTTTTATTGATATCCCTAAACTATAACTTTACTAACAGTTTTTGTTATCAGGATTATCAGTTTGGGGTTTTACTTATTTTGGGTAGAAAGGATTGAACCATGAGTCTGTTTTTACCAGTCTGTTGTCATAAACTGTGGTTATGTTTTCTCTTTCAGAGATTTAGAACTGATTTTTCAGAGGGAAAAATCACAGGAAGGGTAAATATTTAAAATTTATTAATATGTATTTTTATTTGTTCAAATGTTGCCCTTTATTATAGAAATCATTCCATAATCTGTGTTTTCCTTTTATGGCAAAGCTAAAGGGAAAAAAGCATGATTTTAATGTCTCCTTATTCCATGTGATAGATGAATGTAGTTTAACAGGAAACTCAAACATAAAAAATTAGATTTAAGACAGTTAATGCTGGTAGATGGGGAAAAATCATGAGGCCAAAAAAATTAGAGTGCTAAAAACGACACTATAACTCTTCAGATAGCCTTCATTCACTGTTCCAAACAGTAACATGAGTTAGCATCATGCTGCTGATAATGCTTGTTGAAACATGAAATAGTTGTTTGGTGTAGGAGCTTCTTATTTCAGAAGTATTAAAGTTCTAACAAGGTTTGGCGATATAGAAACTGTTTTTTTATATGTTCTTGCACTGGATAAGCCCTATACTGAAGCTTGGCATGGTGCACTGACAGCTTTGGAGGAAGTTATGGTTGCTTATTAGAATCTTCTTAACTTTTCTAAGCCTTCTCTAGTCATGTTACAGCAAGCAGCATTTAAACTAAATCAGAGACTTTTGGGGAGGGGAAAATGGGAGTTTATGCTTTTTTTACTTCCTTGAAATATTGACTTTCTTTCCATGAGCAGGTATTTTTTAATAGGGAAAAATAATATCTAAACTTTACAGTACGATATAAAACCCTGGCTTCTGGCCAAAGGCAGGAACTGAATACGCTGGCACCATTCCCCTGTCTTTCTTAAGCCCTCATCCTATCTATATATATTCTATTGCTCGTTTTAGCATCGCAGAAGCCTCACTGATTTTAACTCTAGCAGTTGGCTAGTTGCCCAGCAGCCATTTAAAATAGTTTTATGGCATCTGGTGAGCTGTTTGTTTCTTGTTCCTGATGAACCACCATCAAATTTCTATAAATCATAACTTGGTGTGCTTATTTTAATTATTTTATGTTAGCAGGTGAGTTTTCTATATATCTCATATGTTTGGAAAACTGCTTTTGAAAACATATTTATAGATTTTGTTTAACGTTAACCACTTAATACTTTTCAAACTTTGTGGTAGGAACAGTAGTATATTGCCTGAAGGTTAGTTAAGTAATCTTACATCAAGAGTAAGGGACTCAAAGTGTCACCTGCACCTCTCTAAAAACAAGTTTAGATTCCATCTAAATGCTGTGCTGGCTAAAAAACACTCTTGCATAAGTTGAATTTGGCCCTAAGACCTCCAGTTGCCCTATGTATTTTCTCAATCAGGGTCTCTCAAAGTCATTCTTGCTTGGCCACTACAATCCTGAGGGATAATGATACATTTCTATCAGTACATTTCATTGATGGCAGTTGATTGTGAGCTGTGAGGAATGGAGAATAGCATGCAGAGTGTGTTTGGGCATGTAAACAATCATAGTGTGGAAAGTACTACCATTTTTGTGGCCTTCCTTCCACCCCCATTCCTGCTGCAGATGTGTGGTCTTTATTCATCCCTTAGTTCAGAATCAAGGCTGTAAATACGCTCGTGGGTTGATGCAGGCCCTTTTATCTTTCTGCCAAATTCCTTTTATGGAATTGTACTGTGCTTAGTGCCATAGATAATGGGAGTTGATGTGATATGATCCTGTGGACATCATTGCTGAGTTTAGTGTTGGGATGTTAGGGGAGGTGTTCATTACTTCATGCCTTACTCTCTTTTCTGAACTCTTACAAGAGAATTTCTTATTTCAGGAGTGGAAATAGTTGTTCTCTAGAGCAATAAATTTATTTCTACCTTGAAAATTGTTTAATTGACTATATAGTCCTCTTCATGTTGATAGGTAGAAAATGGAGTTATTTGGGCAGGGGAGGGGATATTCATTTCATATCTGACACTTTGTTATCCTTATTTTCTCTTTGCCTCGGTTTTTTTAAAATTTAAAATTTATTTATTTTTTCTGTATCATGTCAGTTTGCTTACCAGCCTTGATTAAGCCTTTTTTTTCTTTTTAAGAATAAAACTGGATAGTAAATGGATAATGACCATGCCAATCACTTCTGGTACTCATCTGCTTTATGAAGGATTTTATCATCTAAATGGAATTTTATCATCTGAGTGGAATTTTACTTGCTAATGTTATCAAAACTTTTAAAGATAACTTTCCAATAGTGTGATTAGAAAAGCCTAAGGTCAAATCTATCTATCTATCTATCTATCTATCTATCTATCTATCTATCTATCTATCTATCTATTTATTTATTTATAATTTTTTAATTATTTTTTTAAAATTTCTTTCTCTTTTTTTCTTTTTAAAAATTTTTTGACTAAGGTCAAATTTAGGCTTCAGCATTTTTTTGTACACAGAAAATGTACATTAAAATACTGAGCCAGCTCCGATTGTTTGAATTGAATATTGTAACTTCCCTGAAATATGACTTAATTCTTTTTAGTATCTAATTTGGATTAAAAGAATCCATCAACAAAAGGTGAAATCTTTTTCCTGATAAAACTTTCAGAATACATTTCTATTTAGGATTTTCTTTTTTTGTTTTTATAGATTTACAGAATAGATTAAAATTGCTTCACTAAGTATTGTAACCCCAAACCTTTGCTAATTAAAAAAGAAAATATTGTTTTCAGTTAGAGCAAACACTTTTAATTTAATAGACACACACTCCCAAATAGCTAGAATTAATAATGTTATTAACAATTTGGATAGTAGCTATAAATATCTATAATATTGTTTAGATTTTTGGTGTTCCGGCAGGGACAGATACATTAAATGTAATTTTATTTTATGGTAAACTTAAATATGAACTAAAAAGCAATACTGTTTTTCTCTCTCTAGAGATATAATTGCTATAAGCATCACTGGAGTGATACAAGAAAACCTGTAATTTTGGAAGTAACTCCTGGAGGCTTTGACCAAATTGATCCTGCAACCAACAGAATACTCTGTTCCTATGACTATAGAAATATCGAAGGCTTTGTAGATCTCTCTGATTATCAAGGGGGATTTTGTATACTTTATGGAGGTTTTAGTAGATTGGTAAGTAGTGTTTTAAAAAAGACATTTAAGGAGGGATATGACCATTTGAAGGAAAGCAGGGTTTTTACATTTCATTTTGAAATTTCATGTGAGTCCTCTGAGAGAAAGTATGGTATTAAGAGTACAGGCTTTGGTATCAAAGGTACATGAGCATGAATCCCAATTTACTGCTGTTTAAAATGAGGAGTGTGATATGTATATCTTAGGTTTATTGTGAGGATCCTGTGAGATAATTTATGTAAAATGCTTTACACAGTGAATTGCTTAGTGTTCAGTAAATGGTGGTTACAGTTGTTATTTTCATGAGTATTAATGTCTTATCTGAAAGTTTGTAAGCTTTCTTTGAAAAAGTAATTTACAATCTCATTTTTATGGATAGTCTGCCATCCTTTGTTTAGCTATTTGTAATCTGAAATCTGAGTATTCATTGAAACTTCAAATTTGGAATTCATTGTGTGTTTTTTGTCTTGAAATTCTAAATTATATATAAGCAAATAAGTAGAGCAGAAGTTACTTCAGATGCTGAGACCCTGTTTATCTGTAATAGAAGCTAACTATAGATGATGACCTTTTTTTTTTTTATGAGAAATATCCTGCCTTCCTTAATAAAGTTTAAACTTGAGATCTCAAAGATGAGCAATAGAGAGAGTCTCCAAATGAACAGACTCAGTTGAATTTAGTTGCAAGATTCCTTTTTCTTGAGAATTTTAATTCCTGTAGCTACCTTAATGGCCTGGAAACATTACTCCAAGATTTAGTGCTTTGTGGATAAAATATCTTTCCCTGAGCAGCAGAGCCGAGAACTTTTTCCAGTGAGCCTGGAACTTTTAGATACATAGGATGGTAGGTAGTAGCAAAGGGAAATAAACAGAATGGTGGTGAGCTGGATAATCTGACTTACAGAATATAGTTTGCTCTTCAGAGTTATAGGCCTTTTTCCATCCTAGATTTCACTCTTTCCTCTCTTGAGGGGTACCATCTTAGTTTTCCTCATCTAGGAGCACAAAGAGAGATATTTTGTTACCTGAGTCTAGACCTAAAAGCAAAGGCTCAAAGAGAAAACAGTTTCCTCTCCCACCCTTAAAGGAGCCTAAAGCCTGCGGTCTTGGTGCTATCCAAAGTCTTTCTCTCCCTAAGGGAGTAGAAATTTGGAATGATTAACTCCTTGGTGGAAAACATACTTGATTATAGGAATACGGCCTTTTAGGCCTAAACAGGATAACTATCAGAATAATTCATCCAAGCTCATACAATGGAACAATAAAGTAAACATTAAGGGTGAGAATTGTTTGGTATTATTCATATTGCCAACATTTTTGCTTGCTTGATGGCAGCAAGAAGCTTTAATTTGAATTATTTGTTTTCTAGGTATATTCTTTGCCTTTAAAAGACACTAGCTAAAATGATTCAATTCACTATAAATATGATGCCATAACAGATTCATTCAGCCAAACTTAGTCTAATTCTTTCTGCTTCTATAGTGACTGTGATAAACTGCTGGGAAAAAAATCAAGTCCTTAAACATGATCTGATCCACTGTTTCTCAGTAGGGGAGCAATTGGCATTATGGGCAGGACAATTCTTTCTCTCCTGGGACACTCCTGCCTTGCCCTTTGCAGGACAATTAGCATTTCTGGCCTCCAGGCACCAAATGCAAGTAGCAATACTGACCTTATCCTTACATTTGTAAATACAACCCTGGAGTTGGTTTACAATACCAGTAAGCCAATGGCTTGTATACATGTAAATATTCTTCAACATAATCTTGCAAGGAAGACTGCTATATAAAACAGATTAAATCAGAGATTCCTTGGTTGAAACTGGGAATCCTGGCCACAGGGTGTCCACCACCCCCTCTGTCTTGGCTGGGCTCTCTTGAGGCCCCTTCTTGGAAGCCCCAGCTTGCTGTTTTGCACAAGAGTTTCTGAAAAATTCTCAGGTAATTTCCATTCAGTGAGTTAGTTGCAAGTCTTTATATCCCTTCCATTCAGTAAGTTAGTTTCAAGGCTCTATATCTCAACTTTGTGATCTTAATTTAGTAATAGTCTTTCAACTACAACACATTGCTTATTTATCTCTGATAAGATCTACTACCTCTTTTTTCTCTAGAATTGCTACTGTAATCTCTTTCCTATGAGTTGGTTAAATATGATCACATTTTAGTTGTTTCAACCTGACTTTTTAAATTTCAAAATTTGTACAGCATTTGTTTGCATCAGAGCAAAGAGAAGAGATTATCAAAAGTGCAATAGACCATGCTGGCAACTACATAGGTATTTCATTGCGGATCAGGAAAGAACCTTTAGAATTTGAACAATATTTGAACCTTCGCTTTGGAAAATACAGTACTGATGAATCCATCACGTCTTTAGCAGAGTTTGTAGTCCAAAAAATATCACCTAGACATTCGGTAAGACCCATTTGTTGAAAATAGAAACGTCATCTGATTTTCACATTTTTCTTTAATAACTTTTTTAATATGTTTCAATTTTATCATTTGAAGGAACCTGTAAAAAGAGTTCTAGCGCTTACAGAAACATGTTTAGTAGAACGTGATCCAGCAACCTATAATATTGCAACCTTGAAGCCTTTAGGAGAAGTAAGTTTTAGCACTATTAGTTTATATGAGATTTTTTTCCTATTGATAAATTAGAATAATTTTCTTTCTATTTTAATATTTATTTACTCATGCC